GGTTAGGCTGTACAAATGAATGGAAGTCAATGGAGGTCCCCACAAAGATAGCCTTGCAAATGTGTGTGTGTGTGTTACCCGGTTCCCAGAGAGTGGCCCCAGATGTAGAGCGGCAAAGTTTTCTCCATCCTCTGTCTCAGCCAATCGTAGATGAAAAGAGCGTCTGATGTCATCCCTCTCTCTGATGGTGATCCGTCTGAGTCGCCCCACCCTGGTCTCACACACACACACACACACACACACACACACACACACACAGAGCTGTCAGACTCAATGCAGCCACTCGGTGTACTTCCTGTCTGCCGTGGTGTGACCTCTGACCTCTGTAGTCGAAGGTCACCACATGGTATCCCAGTGAACTGAGGACCTGAAGGAGGACAGACAGGGGTCAGGTGGTTTCCTCTCAGCAATCAGGAGCCATTCAGCTCATCATCACCTTGTACAGCTGCACCCGGTGGTCGCCGCCTCTGGTCCCTGCGTTGCCATGGAGATAGAGGATGACGGGGTGGGCGGAGCTAAAGGTGGAGCGGTACCAGTTGCCATCTTTGTCCTGAGCATCTCTCCACATCTGAGCGGGAACCGTGTGCCTGAAAGACCAGATGGCTTCAGTCAGGACACTGGCCTAGTCAAAGACCAACTAGAGACCAACTTTTGGACCAACTGGATACAAACTGGGGACAAACTGGGGACGTCTCCAGTAGACACAAACTGAAAATTTAAACTAAAAGCAGCATTCTGAATTCAAAGCTCAGATTCAGTTACAGAAACAGAAACCAGGAGGGGGCGCTGCTACAATATATCAGATTTATTAAACTGTAAGAAGTTTTTTTAGGCAAATTTGACTTTTGAATATCTGCGAATTTAGATGAAAACCTCTAAATGAACTTTACTTTACTTATAAAATAAGTAGAAAATGTCTTTATTGATTTTTAAAAACTTTCATCTGCATTGATTATGACTGTTTAATAATTGTGCGACAGTTTGTTGTGTTAATAATTCAAAGAATATTCAGTATTTCCATTTTAAATCTGGTTTCTCAATATTTACACGCTGTGACATCACTGCATCATTTTAAGGTTGATTCTTATTTTTACTGTTTTTACTTTCAGCTGGTTATTAATTTAATTAAATGTTTTTTCCTCAGTAGTTTTGTTACCAGAGCAGCGACTTTATATTTATGTTAACTCAGATATGAAAAACTTCATATTTTGTTCTTGGTTAGTTTTGTTTTCTCTGATTAAAAAAACAAATCAAATCTGTAGGTTCTGTAGGTTCTGGTACCAGACTCCGATCTTCAGGCCCGCCTCAGGCTCCAGGTAGAGGTTGTGTGTGTGGTTCAGCCCCTGATCCAGAGGTCGCTTCAGGTCGATGAAGTACGGCACCCTCACTGGAACAAAAAGCACAGACATGTCACATGACCTCTCTGGCAGCTCGCTATTGGTCCGTTTGTTTCTGCGAAACATCGTTATGAGCAGCAGGTTCTGATTGGTTCTGCTCAGCTGAAGCTGCAGAACTCTGATGTCCCATGCTGCCTGAAGGCAACACAGGAAACAGGAAGCAGTTCACCAGATGGATGAACAGGAGCATCGATGAAGGCCGTGCTCCATCCTGGAGCAGTGAATGCTGGGTAAAACACCTGAATTACTTCCACTAAATGGAACGCGGCTTCATGCTAACAGCTAATCCAAACATCTGTCCTACATCGCCCCCTGTTGGCTGCCATGCAGCGAAGAACCGGCCAATCAGAGCTCAGTTCAAGTCCAACTGAAACTCACCGAAGTTGAGGAAGACGAGTTTGGCCTGGATGGAGGGGAAGAGCTTGATGATGAAGGGGATGGAGACGTAGACAAAGAGCAGCACCATCATCATCCTCTTTATCTTTCCCAGCAGCCCCAGCCTGAGGAGAGAACAGCCAACATCAGCCGACCAATCAGGACAGAGTGGAGCATCTCTCCTCAGACACTATCTCTGTCTCAGGCCAGCAGGCTCAGATGGTTCTGATGGAGCGAGCCAGTGAAACCCGACCCAGACTGAGCGCGCTCAGAACAGATCAATAATTCATGGAGGAAGACAGAAAGATCAGCAGGATGGTGCTGAGGAGGACCGGGTCTGGTTCTGGACCGGTTCAGTGGGAGGATCATGATGAAGCTCTGGGAATAAAAACAACGACATCAATGCAAAAACAGCAGACAGCCAGTCTGTCCACAAAGAGTTACTGGACCGGACCGAACAGATCCAGAGCGGTTCTGTTCGGATCCAACAGCGGGTCATCTGAGCTGGAAGAAGTTTGCATCAGAATCCGTACTGGGCCCGACCCGTCTGACCTGGTAAACAGAACCAGTAAGCCAAGCCGGCCAGCAGCTGAATGTTTCATCAGGTCCAAACAGAACCACAGAGGTTCTGATCCCTGCTGCCCGACTGATACCAATCAGAACCGGTTCTGACGGACTACAGAACAATGAGGAGGATTTACTGGGTCAAACCAGATGGAGGGTTCTGATTGGATGAAGATTCCTCGGTCACCAGAACCCGGCTGCATCTTACTGAGGTTAAAGGTTCTGAAGGTTCAGAAGGTTCTGGGTCAGTCTTCAACCAGAGGATATCAGAACCAGGCCTGACCCGTCCACATCAGAACCTTCTAGTTGGACTGGCCAGGTTCTAGGTCTGGTGGTTCTGACTGGGGGCTATAGGGAGGGGGCAGGGCCAAGCAGTCAGTGAACGCATCACGGCGCTGTGTTCAGGGTCACATGACGCCAAGTCAGACTCCAGACTTCCTGTTCTGCTCTGAGGTCACTTCCTGTCCCAGTGAAGGTGAAGCTGCTGCTCTCAGTTTCACTTCCTGCATCGGGTCAGAACATCTGGACTTGAGCAGCCCAGGCCCGGCTCCACTGAGCAGAACCAACCAGAACCGGGTCAGGCTCATCCAGAAGGTTCTGCACCATCCTGATCTGATCTGAGATCACCTTCAGCAGGAGGAGGAGGAGGAGGAAGAGGAAGATCACGTGACCTCCTGAGCCGCTGAGGTCACAGCTCCGTCTGGACAGAACCCGCCTGCCCGGTCCAGATGGTCCAAATCAGCTCAGAACCACATCTTTGGTCTGAGCGCGCTCAGTGTCAACATCAATACTTAGAAACATGTCCTCCTGTCTCTAAATGTCTTCTGGTGTCTCTAAATGTCCTCCTGTCTCTAAATGTCTTCTGGTGTCTCTAAATGTCCTCCGGTGTCTGACCTTCCAGTCCAACCAGATCAACAGTCTCACTGGAACCAGTCTGACCAGTCTGGCCAGAGACGGTCTCTTTGTCCTCTGATGTCCCGCCCAAACTTTAAAACCTTAAAGATTTTAATCTTTTTATTTAATTGTTCAGTTTATATTTTTCACCATTTTATTTAAACTCCCCTCCCCCACCTGTTTCCCCGGTGCCCACCTCCTGAACGGTCTCTTCCCCATCCCCGGCTCC